GCCTCCGGGCACCAGAGTGTAGGACTTTTAAAGATTTTATTTATTTATTTGAGAGAGAGAGAATGAGAGATAGCACGAGAGGGAAGAGGGTCAGAGGGAGAAGCAGACTCCCCGCTGAGCAGGGAGCCCGATGTGGGACTCGATCCCGGGACTCCGGGATCATGACCTGAGCCGAAGGCAGTCGCTTAACCAACTGAGCCACCCAGGCGCCCCGAGAGTTTAGGACTTTTAATTTGTCCCAAAGTTGCTAAAGCAAAAATCATGATAAAACATTCTGCTTTCCTTTATGCCCCCCCCCAACGCAAAAAAACAAAACCAAAACTATTTGTAGGGAAAAATGGTTTTGTACATGGGAAGAAACAATATAAATTCAAAACTTACAGATAAGGATTAGGTCTACCACTCATCTCTTTAAAAAGTTTATATGAATATCCAGTCAAAATCAACAGGGTGTCTCCCTTGAAATGTTACCTATACAAATTTCCAAAGAAAGATTCAGGTATTTGGGCAGAGTCCTTGGAATATTTGCAATGTGGCCCAGGTCAAAGTTCGTGGTTTCATTAATGAGGATGTGCATAAGGTCCATCTCCTTAATAGCCTCCTGGCTGCTTCTGAAAACCCCTCAACATAAGTGATTACATTTCCTTTCACCTTGCACAGTTGTAAGGGCATGGAGGAAGGGTTCCCAAAGCAGGGAGAGCACCCAGGGAAGGGTGACCACTATAGGTGGACTGCCCAAGCCCTGAGAGCCCCCGGACCACGACACAGTACTTACTGTGAGCTTCCAGGAGGCACTCCAGGAATGCTGCATTAAGGAGGGACCTAGGCACAGAAGGGCCCCCCTCTTTCTGCAGAGACCCCATGCTGAGGCACAGAAGTCTATGAAGTAGATAGAAACAAGCAAGAATCCTTATAATCCTACACATGCCCTTTCCTAGCACCACACACACATCCAGATCCACTGGGCTGGTACAACAGACACCAGAAAAGGGAACTCCCATGTCCCCAGATATGCTCAGTCTTGAATCCAAAGGCCAGAAGGGAAGAACACAGGCCAGGTCAGGGTGAGTAAGGCTTTACTGCAGATCAGGCAGGGCTGGGCAGGGACTACCCTGGGGGAGCCGGGCCTGCACTCCAGGTCTTACGGGGCTTCGGGGCAGCCCGGGGGAGCTCACGGCAGGGCTCCCCAGGCCAGGAGTCCAGTCCGGCTCCTGCAGGTGGAGCAACCACCCAGGGAAGAATGGTCTGGTTGGCTTTAGTGCAGGAGGGATAACACTGGTGGGGGAGGAAGTTTGCTGAAGTAGAGAGCTGACAACAAAGGGCCCGGTTGAAGACAGGTTTGGGAGGGAAAAAAGGGGGCCCATAGGTATTTCGAGGGGACAAAGGAATATAACAAAGGACAAAGAAGCAAGACAGCTGTTGGGGGAGACACAGCAAGCACAACTCTGGCTCCTCACCGGCACCCCCTCCCACGTAGGCCCTACTTGCCGCCCCACACGGCAATCTTTAGAAACAGAGGGGCTGGGAGGAAGCAGCTGGACTTCATGTAGGCAGAGATCTTCTTCAGGCTCTGAGGGTGGAAAGAGAGAGTCCAACATCAGGGTGTGCGGCCTCACTGGGATTCATGCAGCCCCACTGAGGTGCACCAAGTTCGGGTCGCTTCCTTGTGAGGCCAGTGTTGAGACACAGCACAGTCTCCCTGTGGTCCCTGCTCTGGAAAGTCATCCAGCTTCCTGTAACTAATGGGACATCTGACTAAGATATGGAGACTCTACCTGTACCGGTGCTTTAGATCCCCCAGAGATGATGATACAGGTGTAGAAACCCCACCAACCACCCTACAAGATGGGTCCTACTCTCACCACCCAGCAGAAGGGAACCAAAGGCCCAAAGGGCTTCAGCGGCCACCTCGGGCTCCCAGGGCTAGCAGGTGGGAAGGGCTGGAGGGCAGCTGGTTCTCTTGCCAGGGCTGTGTTCTTCCGGCTGGCCTCCCTCCTCCGCCCCTTCTCCCCCCTCCTCCAGGAGGCCCTGTCCCTCCCTGTCTTACAAACATCCCCCTTTGGCAGAGGGAGCAACCTGGCTTCTCAGAGTTTGCCACATAGGGAACCCCAGCAGAACACGGAGGCTCAGATTGTGGCCATGCAGCTTGCAGGAGAGGCCAGACCTCACCCAGTGACTCAGCAAAAGCTGCATGAAGTGAGAGAGGCTGGGAGCATGAAGGCCAGGCCAGGCCAGACTCTAATTACTGAAAGTCCAACTGCTTGGCCTGGTACCTGTCCCCAGTGTCATGGGCACCTACTACCTCCTCCCCAGGCCTGCTGCAGCCAAGAGGGCATAGGGCACTCAGGGGTATCTGAGTACCATCTTCCCAAGACCCAGAGGGCCCAGTGAGTTCTAAAGGGTTCCAAGTTCCTGGGACTGCCTATACCCAGCGGGCCACACACTGCAGCCCACAGCCACCCTCTGTCCCTCCTGCCAGCCAGTCCCCGGAGCTCTGGCATAATCTCCAAGGCCAATCACCCAGACCCACAACCAGGGCTGATAAGAACCGGCTCAAAAAGCACATCTCTTGATGCAGAATGGGAAAGAGAAACAGACTGCCGCCTGAAAATCCTGTTGGACAAATGCCTCAAAGCCCCATATCGCTCACAAAGCACAGTCCGCTGGCCTCCAGTGAGGGACTAAGGGTGACCAGGGACACCAGGGGAGGTCCAGGCTGTGCTCCTCCTGCACCCACCTGGCCCCACACACACCACACGGCTGGGTGTTCCTCTAGTTCTCCAAGCGCTCTGAGCCCCAGGACGGTGGCTCCAGGGCCGCGTCACCCTGGCATCCCCACTGTGCCTGACACAGTGCCTCACACCCGGGAGAAGATCCGATCGGCCAATAGGACTGAAAATAAATGGACTGCCCCAGCTCTGACACAGAATCTCGGGTAATGGGAAAGAAGAAGGGCAGGGAGACAGGGAGGTAAGGAAGGTGCCCACCACAGGACACTCAGGACAGACTCCTTCCACAGGCGCCCTCACCCATGCACTCACAGCCCAGGACCCAGGACATTCCTGGGGATCTCAGGGCGGGCCCAGGCGGGGATCGGATTGCTGCAAAGCTGCCTGGGCATCCCCAGGAAATGCCGTCTCTGCCCTTCTTATGTAGTCTCATCGCTACCATGGCTCGGCTCTCCTAACGCAACGCCAGCACCACACACGCTCCCGAACTGCGGCCGCATCCACAGGGTCCTGAGCTGCATAACCCAGACAAGTAAAGCAAATGAGCTTCCTTCTGGCCCAGGAAAGAGAGAACCATGGCCTGCTGCCTACAGAAGCCAGAGGCTGAGTCAGATCCCAGAACAGACAGTACTGGCTCGGTGAACTTCAGCGAATGACTTATCCCTTCAGACTCAGTTTCCTTACCAGCAAAAATAAGCTGATAATTCTTCTACCATGTAGGAATGTTGTCCAGATTTGATTTGACACAAATATGTTAAGATCCTGAGCACAAATCGTGATATAGCAAAACCTCAATAAATGCTACTTATTCTTTATTCTGCATACAGGACTAGGAAAGCATCCAGCAAAAGGAGGAAGGACAAAAGAGATATAAACAGTAAGGAGGATAAAGAAATCACCTCGAAGCGGGCCCTGAACTCTTCCAGGGCTGGGAATGCATCCAGGCACTTGGGCTCGAATATACGCAGTGTATCAAGAATGGCATAAGCCAGGAAATCCACGTAGGTGAGCTAAAGAAAGGCAAAGGAGGAGTGAGCAGGTAACTCTGAACCTGGGGAAAATGACAGCTTCCCACCCCCCAAAGCCTTCCCCTTACCTTCTCCCCTGCAAACCAAGGCCTCTTCCCCAGAAACTGTGAGCAGAGGAGCAGGGAGCAGGGAGTCCCTCCAGGTACCCAGGCTTCAGTTTCTCCTGAGGCACAGAACAGCCATCACCACCCTCAGGCTCAGACTCCCTGGGCAGAGAGGCAGGTCTCCCCCGGGCAGTGCATGACCCCCAGCTGCCAAGGGGTGAGCAGCCACGTCCCCCCACTGGAGGGGGGGTCATTGCCCAGGCGATGATTTATCCAAGCTGTGTTCAGCAGACTTCTACTGGGTCCCACCTCCCATCCGTGAGAGGCTGTGGGAAGGCAGAGAACACCACCTCGCTGTCCCTGAATCTGTCACCACTCATCTCCAAGCACCCTCCCAGAGCTCAGACCCAGGAGGGCTGCGAGAACCCGGCAGAGCTCTGGGCGCAGATGTCAGGCAGAAGCAAAGAAGCACACAACTGAAAGGGCCTGGGGAAAGAAGTCCTAAGTTCTTCCTGGTCAGGGACAGATAGGAGAGGCACTTGAGCTGTCCTGGAAAGATGTAGAATTTGAGAGACAGAGAGGAAGGAGAAGGAGGTACAAGGCCCCGTGTCTGTCCCTGTGCTGCCTGCCGGACAGAGTGCTCAGGCCTCAGGGTGTCAGGACGACTGTGCTGAGCAAACAAGGTAAGCACACTGTCCAGGAACTGAATTTCCACCCTGGGGACTGGACTCTACCCTAAGGTTAGAAGGAACTGAGTGTTCATCTGATGTATTGAATTATAACGGCCACTCTGGTGAAAGTATAGGGAGTGGCTTGGAGAATCAGTTGCTCCTTGGGGTTCAAATGACAAACAAGGCCCCGTGTAGATGGCACACAAGAGTCCAGTCCGCCGTCAAACCCTGTCCATCCCAGCCCCCAGGGAGGTGACTCACAAAATCAGGGCTGTAGCACATCCTGGCAAAGTATAGGCGGTGTCCATAACCTCATTCTCCAAAATGTTCATGCGACACTTCTTCTCTTCTGTCTTCCCACCTACAGCCCACACAGCGGAGACTCACCCTCAGCATCCCACCCCAGGCAAGCACAGGGGGCACGCCACTGTTCCCCTGCATCCCGCCCCCAGCCCCACTCATTGTGAGCAATGTAGCGAAGGATGGCGTTGCCCTGAGTGATCTTGTGAGCCCCATCAATTAAGTAGGGCAGCTGTAAGGGCAACAGGGGCAGGTGGGTAGGCCACAGGGCCCCCCCTCCAGCACCCTCACCCTTGAAGAAGGGCACTCCCAGTGCCTGGCTCATGGTAGGCACTAAAGCAATCCACTGTAAAATGGATGAATGAGCTGGAACATAGAGCATGGGGGACAGGCAGTGACAAGAACCAGGAAGCTGAGAGGCTGAGCAGAAGGCAGCAAATCCTGTAACCTCTGAGCTGGGAAAGCAGGTGGAGTACCCACCCCTCTCACTTGCCCCCACATCACCCCCACCCCTTGCACCTACATTGGGGAAGTCCAGGCCCAGCTTGAATTTTTCATTCAGCCCCTGGCTTCTGTCATAGTCGGGAGCTGTGGTGGAGAAGATGGAGGGAAACACACCTCCCCAGAGCCCACTCTCATTGGGCCTGGGGCGGGGGCAGGGTGGGGAACCCACCAAGGATCAGTGGCAAAGCTCCCCAAAAGGTGGATCTGGAATCTGGAACACTAAGTCTCACATCCCAGGTTTGGGGGCAAAGAACACTTATAAGACTCTGGAACCTGTATGAGTAAGCTTACAAAAGGTTTACCCAAGCCCTAAGGGGAACCCATCCCAGTTACTGAAACAGGGGGTCCAGCACCCCCCCTCATGTCCTGCCGAGTAAGGCCAGCTGCACCTGGAAGGAGTTAGGGAAGGGCAGGCCCTGCTCCAGCTGGTGGGGCAGAGGGAGAAGCACGTGGCCAGGGCAAGGGTAGCTCGGTACCAAAAGTCGGAAAGTGACCGGGATGCCCTTATCGTCCCCCATCGCGTACTTCTTTTCCTCATAGTGTGAGTCTGTGTACTCCAGGAGCAGGCGGATGGCGTGAGCCAGCTGGGAGAGATGCCCAAGGCAGAGGTCAGAGATGGAAGTCCTGAGTTGGTGGCTTTCTCTGCACCAGGTAACCTCACAGACCCCAGTGCCCCCAGACACGTGCATTGGCACCCACTCCGCAACCCTCCGCAATCCCCTGCTCCCCGCCCCCTCCCGCAACACACTCAGAAACACGTCCACCTGAGAAGGACAGACTGCTGGAAAGGGTTGAACTGCACCCAGCCCTGAGCAGGAACATTCTGGTAGTATTGGTGTCTACTGCGCATTTCCTGCCCCTGTTCGTCTCCTTCCCATCCAGCCTGGCGGCCCCCTCGCTCACCCCGCGGATATCCCAGTAACCCAAGATCATGGCCATGGTCAGTGAGCATTTCGCGGTTTTAGGGTAAGGCCTAGGCAGAACTGGGCTCCAAGTTCATCCGGGTGTGGGCGGGGCCGGGGCGGGGCCTGATTGCGCCTCTAGGCCCCGCCTGTGCCCCGCCCCGGCCAGCTTCCACTACCCGAGGCTGGGAGCTGAAGCGAAGCGCCCAAAGACGCGGTATGTCCCGCAGCCGGGGGGGTGCGGGGGGTGCAGAAGGAGCGTCCTGGGGGAAGGCCTCCTGGCCTCGGGAGCCCCTGGCTCCCCGCCAGCCCACGGCTCCCCGCCAGCCCACGGCTCCCCTCCCCGTGCAGGGTCTGTCTCCAAGTCTGGGAGCTGGCGGGGCGCTCGGAGACGAGCCTGAATCACAGAAAGCGCATACCCTTCTCCCTCCTCTTCTCCCTGTGCATCACTCCGCCTCGCCCCTGCGCTGTCCAGATCCCAGGGACGCGGGGAGCCTCTGGCTGCCAAGTTAAAGCCAAACAGCGGTGTCCCTCCAATCGGGAGTTTAAAGCAGGGCCTGTCCCGGGAAACCCAGGACTCAGGCCACTTTGAAAATTCCTCCCAGGACGACCCTTGGAGAACACATTATCCGTGGGTGGGGACTACCACCCAGGACAAGGGCCAGAGAAAAGGAACTGTGGCCTCAGTGTTTCCTTCAGGGCCTGTGGAGTCCCCAGCCCTTCAGTCACGTGGCTGAGACCCCTTAGCTCAAGTGGAAATCAATCAATGACCGTTAGGACTGGAACTGTGACTCTAAATCCAGAACCAGTCCCAGCAAAGGGCAGGGTGCAGTCCTACCAGTCAGCTAAATGTCCCCAGGTGGCCAGGACAGTGACGTGACAGGGAGTGTGGTGGTGTCACACACAGAATGTGACTGAAGGGGGAAGGGGGATTCTCTGACTGGCACAGAGGGCAGCCAGAGGGGATGGTCAGCAGGAGGGTGGAGGCCGCCCCACAGGACCACAGACAGGCTGGTCCCCAGCAGACCCTCAGCTGTCTAGTCCATGCATTCCAGCCTGACCCTGGCTTCCCACCCATGTGTGCTTTTCTGTAGGTCAGGGAGGCTCAGGTGGCCAATCAGGTTCTTCTGTGATCTGTGATCTGTGACAACAATGTCCTACCTGCCAATTTTCTTCTTTGAAGGCAGGAGACTACTTCAAACTAGGTAAGGGGGACAGAACTCGGCCTGTGGCTCATTTCCCTTTGTATAAAGGGTATTGCAAGTCTTCGTGGATATGTGAAAACAGAAGAAGGGAGGGTTCTCTGTAATCTTAAAAGGATTTAGGTGAGGGAGGTCTATGCCAGAGAAGTTGGGCTGTACTGATCCAGGTCCCCCATGTTCTGTAAACATGTTGCTATGCTCTTGATTATCCCTTTGTTCAAAGTCCCAATTCTACTAGCCATTCATTCAACAAACATTTCAGTACCTCTGTGTGCTGGGCTCTGTGTTTGACTCTGAGAATGCAAAGGTAAAATCCCAACCCTCAAGAAACCTGTGCTTTAGAACGTGTGCTGTGCCAGGTGGTATCCACCAGCCATGTGTGGGCAACAGAGCTTGAGAGAGGGCTGGTGCAACTGACAAACTCAACTCGTCATTTCATTTTACTGAGTTTAATTTTTTTTAAGATTTTATTTATTTATTTGAGAGAGAGAGAATGAGAGATAGCACGAGAGGGAAGAGGGTCAGAGGGTCAGAGGGTCAGAGGGAGAAGCAGACTCCCTGCTGAGCAGGGAGCCCGATGCAGGACTCGATCCCGGGACTCCAGGATCATGACCTGAGCGGAAGGCAGTCGCTTAACCAACTGAGCCACCCAGGTGCCCTAATGAGTTTAATTTTTAAAACTGATACTCAATTTGGTTATTGAAAAGCTTTTAGGTGTGTTTGGGACACGCTGGGTATGTGAATCCATCTTTTCAACTGTAAATGTTTTGCAATCTAGATACAGGTCAAATATTTCCAGTGAAAATGTAGGTCCAAATTGATATATGCTCTAAGTATAAAATAGACACCGCATTTCAAAGACTTAAGGGTGGGGGAGGGGGAAGCTTGTAAAATATTTTACTAATAATTTTTAAATTGATTTACATGTAGAAATTATGCTATTTTGGATATATTGGGTTAAATAAAATATATTACTAAAGTTACTTTTTTTCTCTTTGTACTTTTTAATGTGGCTACTAGAACACTTAAAATTAGACATATGGCCAGCATATTTCCACTAGACGGTGTTGGTCTAGAGCATGAGGAGATCAACAAGGAGCCGCCTGGTATGTTGGTGCTGGGAGGGAGCCCTGGGTTGTTGTGGAGACTTCGGGAATAACAGAGATGAGGAGGAACAAGGCTCATAAAATTCAGGTACTTGGAGTTTAACTCTGGGCTATTGGGCCCTGGGAAAATATGGATTCTTTATGGAGCATAAAAAGAGGACATAGCACATCGACCCTAAGATGTACTGTCCCCCCACTTTCTAACACTAACATCATCAAATCAAGTGACTTCAGAATCAGGATGTCTTAGAATCCACAGTGCATTGTAGTTACACGGTAGGGTCTTTTACATTTCTTATTTGTCCATAAAATAATCGCTCATCTCATCTTGCGATTGATGGAAAAGTCAGTATGCTTTTGTCCTCTGAGACGGCTTTTTGTCACAGTCTGTTTCTCAGAGCAGACTTGTTGCACATTAATATTTTGTTATGCAAAGTGTATGGAAGGTCTAGAAGAACACTCCAGTGCAGCCACAGGACAACCCTGGTTCCTTTCATGAACCACAGGGTCACCGTGGTCTCAGGGACACCGATCCAAGGTAGTGACAGCAGGACTGTGTCACATGTACCATCGGGGGGGGGGGTCTCTGCCCCATCCCTTGCCCATACCTGGTGGCTACTTGCTCAGTCCCTTCACACTGAATAAAGGAGACTTCCTTCCCCCCCGGAAAATAAGGATTCTACTACCTACCGTATTTCACAAGGTGGCTATTCAGATCAAGTGACAGATCTACAAGCCCTAAAGAGTCATACCTGATTACACCATAAACAAAGACAGAAAGCTGCTGTTTAAATGGATTAGACTACGAACAAGAAGATGGAAACTATAGCAGAGAGACACAGACAATCCCTGACTGGCTCTTTAGGCATGTACCCTGGGTGGGTTGCTTAACTTTTATTAAAAAAAAAAAAAAAAAAAATCATCAGCCTTTCCCCAGTTCTGGTGACTTCAAAGCAGTAACTTTCCACCTTTTCTGCATGTTAGAATCATCTAGAGAACTTTTAACCATACCGATGCCCGAAGCCTGTCACAGACTAATGACATCAGAGCCCTAAGTGCACGGTGGCCTCTGTAGTTTCAAAAGCTCACCAGATGAGTCCCTTGTGTGCCAGGCTGATGCAGCAGATGCTGCCTCCTAGCCACGCTCCAGGATTCTGTCAGAAGATGCGAATCTAAACTCGACACTCCATGCAAACGCTCAGCAAACGCTCAGATGCAAGGAATAATATGCCTGATATTATTTATTTCTGCAGTCTCTTCATTCCTTTAGATACACGAAGTTGTAACCTTTGGTTAAAACAGCCTTTCAGAAAGAGCGTCTTTAGACCACATTTAAAAAAAAAAATTGTGATAAAATAACACAACCCCTCAGAAGATGACTTTAACAGAGCAGAGCTTCGGCATTTTGACACCTGCTGGCTATGTTGGGAGACCCTGGGGAAAATCCCTTTCATGGGACTTGAGCCTTGAGCCTCTCTGATATCTCTCCAAACCGAGCCAGCAGAAGGGATGAAGAGCCCCGGGCTACCGCTGATTGCTCTTACAAAAGGTACTCCAGTACCTGTGCGTCCCCTCCCAGATTATTTGTTATAGATCTTTGACAAAGAAAGACCCTCGAGTGTTTTAAGTCCCCCTTGCTTTTCCTGGGTTCCCATCAGAGAAGCTGGAGAAAGCTGTAGCTCTGGGGCCAGGAAGAAGGGAGGGAATCTTGACTGGCTGTCACCTGCAGGAAGGCACTAGGTCCTCTGCCTCAGCCAGCACCCCACGGGGTTCCAGAGAGGCCCGGAAACAGGTAACGGGGCCTTCTTCAAAACCCCGCACGCGCGGATGGATGGAGCCAGCCCGGGATCATCCACGCACCAGAAGTAGGGCTCCTTCAGGAGAGGGCGGGTCAGCAGGGCAGAGAGGGCAGTGAAGGGGGGTGGGGGGCAGAGCATTTTGTGGCAGGGAGCCCTGTGATGTCTACAGCCTGGCCCAGGAAGCGGGCCAGTCCTTATTGTGGATCCTAAAACACTTCCTTAGAAGGATGTTGCAAAAGATAGTCCCTTGAAACCTGTCATCGGGTTTTCCCTTGTGGATAATATGTGTGGTATTCATTACATTTAATGGGATCTTGTAGGAAACATTCTTCTAAGGGGTCATTCCTGGAAGAAGGTGGCTTTCCCCGAGCCACTGGTTCGTTTTCTTATTTTTATTTTTTATAGGCCCAGAATTGCCTAACAAATTGTACTTCATTCTCACCTTGAGTTCTAGGCAAGTCACAGCCAAATTCTGTCATCTGGAAAGAATACAGGCTCTCATGATGTTCACTCTGTGTGAATCTGGCCTCTGACTCAGTGCTGTTTCTTGTCTTTTTATTTCATTTTTTCCTCTGATTAACTCACTTTCTACAATTTTGTGTATCTTTTTATAAGACTCTTGGGGGAAAAAAGAGAGAGAGAGATCAGAGTAGGAGAGAGACAGTCATGGGCATCTGAGAAGTACAATTATTTTAAGAGAAAGCAACAATCTGAACAACATTCACCGTCAGGCACAGCATTGCTTTAATATCTGGGCCGAGAATTTTAAATGACCATGATGGACACTGTCACTGCCCTCCAACGAAAGACCACCAGGAACACGGAGGAGTAGGAAGTTGGGTTTATTGGTCCTTGAAGCCACACAGAGAACCAGAGTGTCTCAGGAAGAAAGTGTGAGAAACACCTCATCAGAGGATGCCGGTTTTGCTT